ATGCCGCTGGTGATGTGGTCGTAGCCCGGCGCAATGTCGGTCACCAGCGGGCCGAGCACGTAGAACGGCGCGCCGTCGCAGACCTCGGCCTGCCGCTCCATGTTCATCTGGATCTGGTCGAGCGGGATGTGCCCCGGGCCCTCGACCATGACCTGCGTGCCACGTTCGCGGCCGCGCTTGGTGAGCTCACCGAGCACGTCGAGTTCAGCGAACTGCGCGGCGTCCGAGGCGTCTGCGATTGAGCCGGGACGCAGTCCGTCGCCGAGGCTCCACGTCACGTCGTACTGACGCATGATGTCGCAGAGGTCGTCGAACGCCTCGTAGAGCGGGTTCTGCTGGCGGTGGGCCATCATCCACTTGGCGATCAGCGAGCCGCCGCGGCTGACGATGCCCGTCACCCGGTTCATCGCTAGGTGCAAGTGCTCGAGCATCACGCCGCAGTGAACGGTCATGTAATCGACGCCCTGCTTGGCCTGGTGCTCGACCATGTCGAGGAAGTGCTGAGCGGTCATGTCCTCGATGTCGCCGCCGAGCTCTTCGAGCATCTGGTAGATCGGCACCGTCCCGATCGGGACGGGCGACGCGCCGATTATCGCCTTGCGGATCCCGTCGATGTTCTTGCCAGTCGAGAGGTCCATCACGGTGTCGGCGCCGAAGTGCACCGCCGTATGGAGCTTCTCGAGCTCACCGTCGATGTCGCTGGTGACGGCCGAGTTGCCGATGTTGGCGTTCACCTTGCACTTGGCGCCGACGCCGATCGCCATCGGCTCGAGCGCGCCGGCGAGGTGCACGGTGTTGGCGGGGATCACCATCCGACCACGGGCGACCTCGTCGCGGATTGTCTCGGCGGACAGCCGCTCACGCTTCGCCACGTACTCCATGGCGGGGGTGATCTCGCCAGCGCGGGCGAACTCGTACTGCGTAATCGGGGCGGGCATCGGATTCCTGAAGCGTTATGACGGCCAGAGTTTAGTCACATCCGCGGCCGGGCGAGGGAATCGCGGGGCCCGCGGCGGGCGAATCAAGTGGTGGCCGCCGTTGATAGGGAGGTCGGTTGAGACTTGCTGGATGGGGGTGTCCTCACTTTCCGCAAACCGTTGCAGCGGCAGAGGTTTCACCGTCATCGTATCGGGGCCGGGGGGGGTGTCAACGCGGCGCCGTCGTCGGTTGCCCGACGACGGGTGGCGTGCGTCACGGGCCGCTGGTCCGGGTTGTGCCGGTGGCGCCGACCGAACGTCCACCGACCCAACCCCGCGTCGATTGTCGCGCCAAACCCGTCGGCTTAGGCTTAAACTGGAAGCTGTGACACCAGCGTCGCCCCCGGGCGTCCGATCGATGCCCCGACCCTACGCAGGCCTTTTCTTGAATTCCGCCAGATCGACCACCGGCTTCACCCGTGCCCGTCGCTCCGCGGCCTGTCTGGTGGCATGGCTTCTAGCCGCTTGTTCGCAAGCGGAGACGATCGAGTTCGTCGTCGATCGCGTCGATGGCGGGGTCTTTATCAAGAACTCCGGCGCCACGCCGTCGATCATCGACGGCTACACCATCTTCTCGCCGTCGGACGCGTTGATTATCAGTGGCTGGACGCCGATCGCCGGCAACTACGACGCCTCGGGCGACCAGTCCGTGGACTCGACTTCCGATTGGTTTGTCATCGGCACGCCAACCGCCACGACGGTCAGCGAAGCTTCGCTAACCGAAGAGAGTGGTTCACTCGACCCCGGGCAGGTGGTGTCTCTGGGCCTGTTTTTCGACTTGGCGAAGCTCGAAGGCCTCGCCGTCACGGTCAGTGCCGGCAACCAGACGATCGTCGTTGCAGGCGATTACCGCAACCTCCAGGCTGACTACAACGGCGACCTCGTCGTCGATCATGGCGACTACGATGTCTTTCAGATGACCTACGGCTCGACCGGCGCCGGCCTTGCCGCCGACGGCAATGGGGATGGCGTCGTCGACGCCGCCGATTACACCGTGTGGCGAGATTCGCCCGAGCTGTCACTCGCGTCGATGCCGGCGATTACAGCCCCGGGGCTTTCGCTGCCGGGCTTCGTGGAAGCGGCGCCGGGCGGGGTCGTGACCATCCCGGAGCCTGCCGCGGTTCTACTGGCAGCACAGCTGCTCGCCTGCTGCCTACGACGCCGGGCTCGGTAGAGCTCGCGACGCCCTACGTCCAAGAGTACGCACGCCCTCGTGTGCGTACGGGGCTGGTTAAACGCTAGACGCCAGTCAGAGGCCTATTCGGCGAAGGACGCCGGCGCTTTGGTGTTCAGCGGTCGGGTGAACTTCAGGTTCACATTGGCCGAAGCGTCACGCACCGCATCGAAGAACTCTTCTGGAGAGCGGACCCGCTTGCCGCCAACGTGGCTGATGAACGCGTAAGGCCGCACGCCGCTCTCCCACGAGACGCTCCCCTCTTCGACCTCGCTGACGACAACGCACCCCTCGGGATCGATTGCCCCTTCTGCCGTCTTGACGCGGAGCACCTCGGGCGGGACCGCCGTGGGGTAATCGACGCGGATGCCGCGCCACGAAGGCATCTCGGCGCTGATGATCTGGTCTCCCCCATCGAGGTAGGCCTTGCCGAGCACGACGCTCGTGTTGTGCAGTTGGCCCTGGCGTTCGTACACGATGTCTGTCGCGGCGCCGGGAGGGAGGCTGCCGACCGCCAGCTGCAGCGCGTCAGGCGACTTGATCGATTTGCCGTTGACCTCGAGCAAGAGGTCGCCCGGGAGCAGGCCCGCTACCTGGGCCGGGGCGCCGCGGTACGAGTCGCGGACGCCGATGCCCATGCGGCCCGTTTTCGCGTTTCGAGACGCCACCCGATCGAAGCTGACGCCCAGCAGGCCGTATTCCGGCGCCATGCCATCGCGCATCGTCTCGACCGCGCGACGCATCGCCGCGTTGAGCGGAATCGCGTAGCCGGCGGGCTGCTCGTGGCCGGCGATCGTCGAAGCGGTGGTGGTGATCCCCACTAGTTCACCGGCAAGGTTCACCAGGGCTCCACCGCTGGCGTTCCAGCCGAGCCGGGCGTCGGTCTGGATCAGCGAGCCGAAGTGGTGCAGCGTCGTGCGGAACTGGCCGTCCGACTCCACCTCGCCCCCCAGCGGCTCGTTCTGCGGGACGCGGGCGGCAGTGTTGGTGATCGAGCCCCAACTGGCGGTCGGCTGCCCGTCCGACTCGATCGCGTAGGGATTGCCAATCGACACCACCAGCCGTCCCTTACGCAGGTCTTCTGCTTTTCCGATTGGGAGAGCGGGCAAGTCGATGGCCTCGGGCGCCGCCCCATCGTCGCCGGCCTGCCCCGCCTCGAGCCGCTTGCGGATCGCCAGCACCGCCAAGCCGCTCCGGCCGTCGGCGGCGCGGAGGTCGGCCAAGTAGCGGACGCCATCGGGCGTCGTAACGACATGGTGGTCATCGAGCCCAACGACCGCGAACTGTGTCAGCACGATTCCCGACGGATCGATTACCACACCGGCGCCGCTAGGGGGCGTAGCGGCGTCGGTGACCATCTGCAGATTGCCGAGCCTACCGGCGATCAGCGGCTGGCCCTGGATGAAGAACCGCGGTTGGCCCGCCTGTTGGCCGAACGGGAGACCGTTTCCTCGCACGACACCGCCACCAATCGCCACGCCGCCGGGTTGCTGGGCAGCGCCCGCGACGAGCTCGGGCGACTCGGTGTGACGGGTGATCGACACGACCGACCGCTCGCTGCGTTCGATGAGATCGACCAGCGACGACTCGAGAGCCAAAGCCGCAGCAGCTCCTTCGCCCACCGTCTGTGCCCACGCGGAAAGCGGGCAAACACTCACCACAACGCCAAGAAGCATCGCGGCGAGGCGGGCGTTCAGCCAACGGCGTTGAGTAATAGCGGCTAGCCCCACGCGGAGGTCCTTTCGGTTGGCGTTACGCTGGCGCCGCGTCGGTGGCGGCTCAGAGCGACTCGTCCAAGTCGTCGTCCGCTTCGGCCTCCTCGGCGGTTGGCTTATCGACCCGCAGGAGGTCGTCGAAGCCGCCCGTGGCGAGGAGCTTTTCGCGGATCTCTTCGGCGATGTCCTTGTTTTCACGGAGGAACAACCGGGCCTTCTCACGCCCCTGACCGAGCTGCATCTCGCCGTACCGGATCCAGGCTCCGGTTTTGGTGATGACCTTCTTCTCGGTCCCCAGGTCGATCAGGTCGCCTTCGTAGCTGATCCCGTCCTTGTGCATCATATCGAACTCGGCGACCCGGAAAGGGGGCGCGACCTTGTTCTTGACGATCTTGGCCCGGACCCGTTGGCCCACGACCTCTTCGCCTTCCTTCAGCTGGCCGATGCGGCGGACGTCGATCCGGCACGAGCAGTAGAACTTCAGGGCCCTACCGCCGGGGGTGGTTTCGGGGCTGCCGAACATGACGCCGATCTTCTCGCGGATCTGGTT